CCCCCCCCCTGCGGGGCCGCCCCCGCCCGCCCTGGGCCCGGGTCTCCGCAGCAGCCCCGGCTCCTGCCAGGGGGGTCTCGGCCACAGCGGTTCCCGGGGAGGCGCGGCGCTGGCGGAGGAGGGGTGCACAGGAGGTGTCCACCCGCGTTGCGCACGCGCAGCCCGCCTCTACCCTGCTGTCCCCAGCCCGCGGTGGCCCTGGACTCCGGATCAGGGAGAGAGAACAGAGCGGGTGGGGTGCGGGAGTTGGGGGGCCGATTCAGCGGGAGGGAGCGCCCCAAGGTGTGGCACGGCCCCGAGCTCAGTGGGGACCCAGGCGATTCAGAGAGGAAGCCTAGAAGGACTGAGAGAGGACCCAGGCCTGGTCCACAGATCTCCGGGCATAGTGCTGGGGGGAACGGTGGTGCAGGGACCAGAGAGGAAACGGGACCGAGGCTGGAGCGTAACCTGAGCGGGTGGGCTGGGTCAACTCTGAGCTGAGCCCCCCTTAATTTACCCATTTGTCTTTTCTGATCACAACATCCCCTACCCCCTCAGCCCTCCGGCCTAGGGGATCTGGGGCACTTGGCCCGGTGCCCACTGTGTTTCAGACCGACTTGGTCAGGGATTTGAACTCTATGGCCATGTAGAATCCACAGCCCCCTACTTCTGCTCCGGGGAGCCTGCTTCAGTGCCTCGAAAGGGCGCCCCAGGCCACTGCAGCAGCAGCAGTGAAGGTGGCAGGTGGAGGTCTCCCAGGTGGTGGCTGTGAGTGGAGAGGAGGGGACACAGCTTCAAAGTAGAGCTGCTAGAATTTGCAGACTGACCTGGCTGGGGTGTGAGCAGCAGGAGCAGCAGCAGATTGGTAACTAGCTTGGTTGGGGACAGTTTGCGAGTTCAGGTGTGACCTTGTATGTTAGGAGGTGTCTGTTGGAAATGGGGGTGCAGTCCCTTTGCTCACCTCCTCCCCTGGCAGCCAGTCTGCATCTGCATTCCTTTGCTGAAGAAATGACCTCAGACACCAGAGGTTGTTGGCCTGAGGTGGTTCTGCAAATAAACCTGCCATCTGTCTTCATCTGTTACTGCGTTACTTGCAGAAATACCTGACGCTGCATGAACTGATAGGGAAGGATGCTTGGGCTGACACTGTGGCCTAGTGGTTAAAGGGAGCTGGATCCTATATGGCCAATGGCAGTTCAAATCCCAGCCCCCATGGCTGAAGCATGCTGGGCACGTGGGCATACTTTCCAAAAATCCCAACAGGCTGGAGAAACAGAAAACAGATTGCGGTGTGGGGGTTCTTTCTCCTCCTTTTCTGGTGAGTTTTATAGCCCTCTGGCTATAAAAACAAGAAAAGGAGAAAAGACAGAAGTTTATTTAACTCATAACCGGTGGCCGGGAAGTCCGGAGCAGAGAAGACAGTGGGAGCATGCAGAGAGGGCAAGCTGCAGGCAGCTCTCTGTATCATAAGAACCCTTTTTTCATGAGAGCTAGAACCCGATTCTTCCAAGGAACACGTTGACCAGTGTCCCTGACACGCAATCACCATGATCCAGTCGTTACCCATTAAAACCAAATTCCAAAACGTGAACCTCAAGGGAGTAAACCATCATCTGGATCATAACACCAGTTTTGTTTTGTTTTTTTTTTTTTTTTCCTTAATATAAAGCACATGTTCTCACTGGAGAGACAGAAAGAGAGAAAGTGAGAAAGCACCCTCCCCAGTAGGCCATGCAGCAATCCCGTCTTCATTCTTTTCTTGAGATTTCGGGCAGGCAGGTACCCAGTGTGTTTTCCAAGCTGCTGGGTGCGGGACTTGATCCACACAGTCATGCGGGATCCAGCCGCTTTAACTACTGGCTAGCCCCAAAATATCGTGTTACTCTAACGTCCTTGTTCCACGCTTCTTATTTAGACTTTTCAATTACTGTGAAGACAGGTTATGTTGAAAGTCTGTCAACATGCCTGATTTTTTCTCCTAGGGTTTATTGAAATACACCTTTTACATTGTAAAATTCACTCTTTTTGTTATACAGTTCGGTGAATATTGAAAAACTATCACAAGACTAAAGCTATGGAATTTTCCCACTGCTCTAAAAAAGTTACTTGTCTCCCCCACCCCATCTTTGTCCTTGGAAACCATAGATGTGACTTTTGTACCTACAGTTTTGCCTTTTTGGAATACTTTATTTTTTTAGAGGTTTTTGCTATAGGGCGCGTGTGCTCTCCAGAAAGACAGAGAGAGACAGAGAGAGACAGAAAGCGAGAAATCACCCCCCAGGGGGGATGGCCACGCCACAGTCCCTTCTCTTCTATTCCTCTCGGGATCTTGGGCACACACGCACACGTGCCCGGCATGAGTTTAAGCCACCAGGTCCAGGACTTGAACCACGGTCATCTACACGAGAGTCCAAGCAACGTAGCCATTATGCCATCTGCTGGTCCCCAGAATACCTTATTAATGGGAGCAAAGAGTATGAAACCTTTTCTTTCACTTGGCATAATGCTTTTCTTTCTTAAAAAAATATATTTTTTTTCATTTTTGATAGAGTACATGCATGAGAGACAGAGAAAGAAAGAGGAAGACCCTCTCCAAAGTCTGGACATGCTACAATCCCCTTTCTTTAATTCTCCAGCACCTTAGATCTTGGACAGTCCTGAGTGTGCGTGGTGGGCTTCAGCGTATCCGGGCTGGGGATTTGAACCACAGTTTCTGTGCGGCGGGGGGAGGGGCAGCTTCTCTATAACCAGGACATCACCACTGCGCCTTGGACCTGGCGTGCTTTTGTTTTTATAAGCAACTTTATTTTGAAATAATTTTAGGCTTACAGAAATGTTTTATATATATATGTATATATGCATATAATACATGTTACATATACTATATATATTATGTACACATACAGACATTTTTCTGATTGTATTTGTGGTTTTCCTGCAGCCCACCTCAGGGATTAGAACTGCACAGGAAGCCTGATGAGACCTCTCGGGCTTGTTCCCAGCCGATTAATTTCTCAGTTGTACTGTGGTCAGAAACCTCTGGCCTCCGCACAGACCAAGATTCGCCTGACGATGGCTCGACCGAGTTCAAGTAAGTCATCCCTCGCCTGCCGCCTCCTCATCACCAGCGTGAGGTGGGCCCTCAGGGTCCAGCACGCGAGGGGAATGTCTGCATGGAAGGGGGGCTGGGCACGACTCTGGAGAAAGCCTCTGTGGCCTCCCCTGTTTCAGGCATCTATTTTTGGGGCAGGTTAGAGCTTACCTCTTTTTTTTTTTTTTTTTGCTACGGGGCATGTGCATGTGCCAGAGAAATAAAGAGAGACAGAAAGTGAGAAATCACCCCCCAGGGGGGATGGCCATGCTCCAGTCCCTTCTCCTCCATCCTCTCCTCTTGAGATCTGGAGCACGCACGCACACGTGCCTCGTGGGAGTTTTAAGTTGCTGAGTCCAGGACTCGAACTGTGCTCAACAACGTGGGAGTCCAGCGACATAACCATTATGCCATCTGCTGGTCCCCAAATACTCCATTTAGGTCCATTGAGGACATTTTGTTGCTTCTCCCACAGTGTTTCCTTGTTAACTTCTCACTCACGGTTTGTGTCCCCAGCCTCTGCCCTCTGTGGGGAAGAAGCGGGTGAGGGTCCTGCAGGGCAATGTGGCCATCACGTTTCCGTGACTTCTGCAGGCAAACCTACACGCTAACGTATCTGGGCCTTGTCTATAGTGAGTGCAGAGTCTTAGCACGTTTTGGGAATTCAGTGCGCCTTGGGTGGGCCTGCTGACTGCAAACCAGTGCCTTCCCCGTGCCACCGAGAGGCCGGGCTGAGCCCTGCTGGTCTCATTTCAATTTTTTTTTTTTTTTTTGGAGAGGTTTTTGCTATAGGGCGCGTGCGCTCGCCAGACAGACAGAGAGAGACAGAAAGACAGAAAGCGAGAAATCACCCCCTGGGGGGATGGTCACGCCGCAATCCCTTCTCCTCCATTCTCCTCTCGGGATCTTAGGCACGCATGCACACGCTCCAGGCGTGAGTTTTAAGCCACCGGGTCTGGGACGTGAACCGCAGTCGACTACATGGGAGTCCAGCGACATAGCCATTATACTAACTGCTGGTTCCCATCCTGCTTGTCTGATTTCAGCATGCGAATAACTCTGTGTGAGAGGGTGGTCTGTGCAGGGTGGTGACCCCTTCCAGTTTGCCCAGCCTCGGGAGGGAAAAGAACCACAAACCCCAGCTCTGCTCACCCCCCAGCACCGCGGTGTTTGCAGCTGGGCAGAGCAGGCTGCTTGAGTCTGGCAGGATCCAGAACCATGCATGGCCTTCAGCCTGCAGCAGGCCTTCCGTGTATGGGACCGCAGGTCCCCCTGCCATTGAAAAGTGTCTGTTTTTAAAGATTCACACTACTTCTTTCTCACTTTATTTTACCTTCTGTTTTTCACGAACCAAACCTAGGTTGACTTGTTCGTTTCTATCTTTCTTTTTGTTTTAACTTTGCCAAGGGACACATACCCTCGCTGGAGAGAGACACAGAGAGAAAGAAAATGAGGGAAAGTAAGAAAGCAACCCTTGTGGGGAGTGGTTACTCCACAATCCCTTCTACTCCATCCTCTTCAAGATTTGGGGCTCACGTGCACACACACCCTACGTGTTCGTCAAGCTGCTGGTTCTGGGACTCAAACTGTGAGGTCAGCCACGTGGGATCCAGCAGCCTTAACCACTATGCCATGGGCTGGCCCTCTAGACATTTCTTAAAGGGGAATCTTCGTAAAAGCTCTGACCTGAGAATTCATTTGTAAGGGGGAGGACTTGAATTTTTCTTTAGAGTACAAACGACCTTTAGGGCTCTGGAAAGTTTTAGGGGTAACCTTCAGCAGCCGTAGCAATGTTCTAAGGGGTCGAACCAGGAGTCAGACGATCAGTTCCTAGAGAAGTACTTGCACATTTTCTTAGTAGCATCTTGTTCTCCCAGGAGTCTAGGTCAGCTCGAAAGGAGAATCCGCCAAGACCTGGTTTCTTTTTCCGACTCCCTGGTTGGACTGCCTTGTTGCCTGGGTGGCCTTCTTTTCCACCCAGTCTCTCCTGGAGGGGAGGCAGAGCTTCGGCGTGACTGGGAGGGGTAGCTGGGTTGGTCATCTTTGATTCTTTCAGCCCTATGCTGCTGGGAACGTGGTCCCAGAGAGCCTCCAGACTGTAGCTGGGGGGAGCTGGAGTGGGTGCTGCTTTATTTGAGGGTCCCTGTGCCTCTGTCCATTTTACCAGTCGTCCATTGGAGGGCAGAGTCGGGGGGAAGGGGAGCAGGGCTTGAGAAAGCGCCCTTCATGGAGAATGGTTATGCCACAATCTCTTCTCAAGACACTGAGATTCTCCGTGGGGCCAGGCCCACTGTGCAGCTCTGGGCTCAGGAAGATGCAAAAGTCCCATCCCTGGCTCGAGGGAGTCAGCGCTGTCTAAGAAACCAAGAGGGAGTTCTCCTCGCACTCAAGCTCAGCACGGGCGCCCACGGGCCAGCCTGGGAGCACAGCGCATGCTTCTCCACCCCCGGGGCCTGCAGGGCGCATGCTGGGAGAGAAGGGTGTCTCAGCCCCGCCATGTCATGGCCCTCGTCTCTCCCCAGTCTGTGCCCCGACGGAGAGACAAAGGCCAAGTCTGGTCGGTGCCAAGTCTGGCCCTCGTCCTGCGATATGGACAGGTGTTCAGGGGAGAACGCTGTCTGTGGACCCCATGAAGTGTGTCATGTGGAGCCAGGGGTGTAGTGAGCCCTTGGTAACCACGGCTGCTGCCCCTGTCCATCCCAGATCAGCCAGGACGACTGCCTGGAGGTGTAGGACAGGACAGAAGCCATGGTCTACGACCAGGATTACCCACGGTCGTGTTGGCCTCTGCGTTCCATCCCCTTCTTTTATTCCAAGTCACTGGTGGCGACCAGATGAGAAGTTTTTTGTTTTGTTTTGTTTTTAAGAGTTTTTGCCTTAGAGTACATACACTTGCCAAAGAGAGAGAGAGAGGGACAGAGACAGTTAGGGGGAAAGTGAAAGGCCATCCCCCGGGGGAAATGGCCATGCTGTAATCCCATCTCCTCCATTCTCCTCTCGGGATCCTGGGCATGCAGGTGCACCTGGCACGATTTTCAAACCACCAGGTGCAGGACTCAAACCATGGTCAGCCATGTGGGACTCTAGTGATGTAACTGCTGTGTCATCCCTGGCCCCTACTTGAGAAGTTTGACTCCTGTTTTAGCTGTCGAGGAGGTCACGTGTCCATGTTTGGGACAGAGCATTTGTGGCCGGGGAGGAGCCCTTGTCCCTCCCTGCGGTTGCTGTGTCCAGGGAAGCCGAACTGGAAAGATCCCTGGTGGAACCGAGAACTCGGGTGGGACTTGGGGATTTGGGGCCCAGTGGGCCTTACTCAGCCCTCACAGAAACACAAGAGCTTGTATTTTTCTTTTATAAAGGAAGATTCAGGTCTATCCATTAGTCTTTTCTAAGGGCTTAAAGGAAGGCATTGCCGCTGCCTCAAACAGCGAAGGAGGGAGAGGGTGGCGATTTGCGTAAGATCCGGTGGCTGGATGGAGGCGGAATGAGAGTCAAAGCCCTGGTGTGACCCCAGCGTCCCTGCTGCTCTAGGGCCCTGCATGCTCACCCATCAGCCTGCATGAGATGGGTCAAATTTCAAACTGTAGACAATTGCCGTAGGATCTGAATGTCCACATGCTACACAGGATCGATAAAGCGGGCCCTGCGTGCTCACCCATCAGCCTGCATGAGATGGGTCTTCAGGGTCCAGGCATGATTTTTAGTCGCGTCAAAGTCAAATTTCAAACTGTAGACAATTGCCGTAGGATCTGAATGTCCACATGCTACACAGGATCGATAAAGCTCGTGCTCTCTGTTTAGATATGGCAGATTTTCGGAAGTTCTTTGCAGAAGCAAAGCACATCGTCATCATTTCGGGGGCTGGTGTGAGTGCTGAGAGTGGGGTTCCCACTTTCAGAGGAGCTGGCGGTTATTGGAGAAAATGGCAAGCTCAGGTGAGTAAAGTTTCCAGAATGTCGAATGAGGGAAGCCACCCCAGAGTCTGACTTTGCACCTATTTTGACACTAGAAACCCAGGGGAAAAGGTTCAAAATTAACTATAACACTTTTTCCCTAAATTCTAATTGGTTATTGGGTGCATGCATTCACCCGAGAGAGAGAGAGAGAGAAGGTGAGAAATCACCCCTCAGAAGAGATCACGTCTCTATCCCCTGTCCCTCCATTCTGCTCTGGGAATTTGGGGTGCACACGCACATGCGTCCAGCGTGTTTTTCAAGCAGGGTCCAGGATTCAGACGACACAGAATGCCACGTGGGATCCAGCGCCCTAACTTCCATGCCAGCTGGCTGGCCCATCACGACACTGTGTCTTGTTAATTTTTCCATCATCGCAAAGTGTCTTTGATTAAGATCTCAAAATTGAGCCAAATGGCCACTTTCCTTACATCCCAGGTGTGATATATTGATCACGTTTGTAGATGTTATAGAAACCGAACCTTGATAGAGAAATCATACTTTTTTTTTTGAGAGGTTTTTGCTACAGGGTGTGTGCACTTACCAGAAAGACAGACAGAGAGAGAGAGAGACAGAAAGAAAGAAATTACCCCCCAGGGGGGATGGCCATGCTGCAATTCTTTCTCTTCCTTTCTCTTCTCGGGATCTTGGGGATGCACGCACACGCGCCCAACGTGAGTTTAAGCCACTGGCTCTGGGACTCGAACGGAACTCGACCCGTGGTCGACTACATGGGAGTCCAGCAACATAGCCATTACTCTTAGCTGGTGATAACATACACATTGGTAAGTTTTGACAGCTGTCCCCACCTGTGCAATGCCACCACTCCCACAACTGAGGCATGGGTCATTCCAGCCATGGCCGAGGGTCCTGTGCCCTTCCTTGCAACCTTCCTGCCCAAACAGCCACAGCTCTGGGCTTTTGTCATAGCAGAGCCTTGTCTGTCCTAGAAGAGGAGCCATACCTTCAATCCATGTCTGCTTTCTGTTCTCTGTTAGTATCACACAGGCACTGTTTTTATATGTGTGGTTGTGCATGTACATGTAATTGTGCGTGTATATGCATGTGGGTGTGTATGTGTAGCTGTAGTCACAAGATCTGAATTTCTCAACTATGGCATTTTGCATTTCGTGTTTTCTCTGGGTACGCCTTAAAATGAAATTGGCTTCAGGACCAGCAGAGGGTTAATGGTTATGTCACTGAACTCCCACATAGTCAAGGGAGGTTGGAGTCCTGGACCTGGAGGCTTAAAACTCACATCAGGTGCATGTGCGTGCCCAAGATCCCAAGAGGAGAATGGAGGAGAAGGGATTGCGGCATGGCCATCCCCCCTGGAGGGTGATTTCTCACTTACTGTCTCTCTGTCTCTCCAGCAAGCATATATGCCCTATAGCAAAAATCTCTCTAAAAAAAGAAAAATGAAATTGACCTCATATATTGTGCAAAAAGTGGATTCCACTCAAAATACCTTCCCACATGTTACATTTTTTCTGTTTTCTTAACTTACTGGAGGGCTATGTGGCACAGGTTGTTTATTGCTGGGAAATTAACACCCCTCTCTCCCAGGTCTCAGGTTAGTCCCAGGATGGGCACACTGGCCAGGCCCTGCTCGTGTCTGCTGCACTGACTGAACCCAAAGCAGACGATGCAGCCTGCACCCCGTACCGCCTGCCCCTGTCTTGCAGGGGACAGCACCATGGCCCCAGGACTCAGCAGCCCTGCTGCCTCTTTCTCCTCCCCGACCTCCACCTCCTCTCTCCCCGCCAGGACCTGGCGACCCCTCAGGCCTTTGCCCGCAACCCGTCCCGTGTGTGGGAGTTCTACCACTACCGGCGGGAGGTCATGCAGAGCAAGGAGCCCAACCCTGGGCACCTGGCCATCGCCGAATGTGAGGCCCGACTGGGCAGACAGGGCCGCCGGGTCACGGTCATCACCCAGAACATTGACGAGCTGCACCGCAAAGCTGGCACCTGGCGACCCCTCAGGCCTTTGCCCGCAACCCGTCCCGTGTGTGGGAGTTCTACCACTACCGGCGGGAGGTCATGCAGAGCAAGGAGCCCAACCCTGGGCACCTGGCCATCGCCGAATGTGAGGCCCGACTGGGCAGACAGGGCCGCCGGGTCACGGTCATCACCCAGAACATTGACGAGCTGCACCGCAAAGCTGGCACCAAGAACCTTCTGGAAATCCATGGTGAGGGCAGCCAGACCTGAAAACACAGGTCTTGCATTTCAGCATGGCCCCGGACCCTTTCCTCATTCCTCCCTGGATGCCTGTCCCAGCCTCAGGATGTGGCATTTCCCTCAGGGACACGTGAGTGCCCTGCAGCCCTGAAACAGCTACCTCTGGTGACAGGAGAAGCCCTCTGCCCATTTGTGCCACTGGCTGGTCACTTCCTGCGTCCTTGCTACTCTGAGTGTGATCTGAGAACCCGCAGTGTCTGCGCTCCTTAGGCACTTGTTAAAATGCAGGCTCTCAGGACCAGCAGTTGGTGTAATGGTTGCATTGCTGGACTCCAGTGTAGTCGACTGCAGTTCAAGTCCCAGACCCAGCAGCTTAAAACTCACACCACGAGCATGTGCATCTGTGCCCAAGATCTCAAGAGGAGAATGAAGGAGAGGGGATTGTGATATGGCCGTTCCCCTTGGGGCGGGGTGATATCTCACTTTCTCTCTGTCTCTCTCTCTTTGGTGAGTGCACGTGCCCATAGCAAAAATCTTTCTTCAAAAAATGCAGACTCTCAGGCCACACTTGGACCCACTGAGTCAGAAACCCCAAGTGTGCACAGAACCCTGTAGGGGTACCGGTGTACACGGCTACCTGCTCCCTCCCCTGGGCTCTGTGGGGGGCTGTGCTCTGAGGTGACCATCCAGCTGGTTCCCAAGGAAACGGGAGGCCTGGGCCATTGGACGGCCATGGCGTTGGCAGGACCAGGCAGGGCAAGACATCAGCATCGGGGTAGGGGGTTCCTTACTGTCCTTTGTGCCCGGTGGGCTCTCCACTCAGGCTGGGCTTTTGCCCACCCTGGGGCTTCAGGGAGCTGGCGGCTCAGTGCCCTCACTGCAGCCAGCCCACCAGGTGTGAGACGTGCTGGTTCGTCCCGGGTCCTCTGGTGTCCCTGTTCCTTCTCTCCCTCTTGTCCTCTCACTCCTCTCCCCCGTTCTTCCTAGTGAGCAATGCGTCCACTCACACAGGAGCAGAGCCGACAGACGGAAGGACAAGGGCTCTCTCCAAGGCCGTTCGCATGCAGAGTCAGCGGCTGCACCTCAGACGCAAGGAGTGGCCTCTCTGAGCGGGGGATTTCCAGAAGCTCTGGCCCCGCGGGAGTGTGGCTTTTTTTGCTGCGTGCAGTGAAGCTGCTTGCTTTACCTGGGCTCAAGGTCACCCTGCTGAGGAAAGCTGGGCCCCATGCACTTGGGTCCCCATCCCTCTTCTGTGCCCCAGGAGCAGCTGGTCCCCTAGGAACCGAGGAGCCTTTTTGGCACCTGCTTCTGCTGGGTCTGGGCCACTTCCCACGTGGCTCTCAGAATATGGTCCGTGTCAGCTGCCACGTATGAGATGGAGGTGATAATGCCTGTCTTTTTTTTTTTTTTGCTTTTGCTTTTTTGGGGCTTTGCCTTAAGACACATATGCCTGCTAGAGGGGAAGTAAGAAATCGTCCCCCAGGGGGTATGACCATGCCAGTCCTTTCTTCTCCATTCTGCTCCTGGGATTTTGGGCACATACCCACGCATGCCTGGCATGATTTTCAAACCACCAGGTCTAGGACTTGAACCACAGTTGATCACATGGAAATCCAGTACCTTAACCTCCATGCCACCTGCTGGCCCCATAATGCCTGCTATACAGACTTGTTGAAACAGTGAAATAGGGATCACATGTGCATATAAGTAGGAATTTATTATTATTATTATTATTATTAATTAATTTTTTGAGAGGTTTTTGCTATAGGGCACATGCACTCACCAGAAAGACAGAGACAGAGAGACAGAAAGCGAGAAATCACCCCCCAGGGAGGATGGCCACGCCGCAATCCCTTCTCCTCCATTCTCCTCTCAGGATCTTGGGCACGCAAAACTCCGGGGTCAGGACGCTGTGTTCAGCCATTTGGGATCCACTTCCCCTAACCTCTGTGCTTCAGGGGCACCCCAAGAGTACATCATGCTTTTACTGTGACTCTTAGAAAGAAAACAATCTGCCTAAACCATGATATACTGTTTCCTTAGAATTATTTGTACTTATAGAAAAGACTTGTTCATTTTGATAGATTTTTTTAGTCTTGTACATACCTAAAATATAAGTGAAACAGACAGGTTATGAAGTTCTGGAAGACATTTGTTCTTAGCTGATTCAGACCCAAGGAATATGCCTTTCTAATTTTTTTTTTAAAGAAGTTTTTGCCTTAGGGTGCATGTACTCACTGGAGAGAGAGACACAGAAACTGTGGGAGATAAAGTGACAAATTCCCCCCCACCACCACCCAGGGAAATGGTGACGCCTCAGTCCCTTCTCCATTCTCCCTGGAATCTCGGGCATGCATGCACATGCACCCACTGTGAGTTTCAAGCCACTGGATCCAGGACTAGAACTGCAGTCAGCCATGCGGGAGTCCAGCACCGTAACCACTTGGTCATCGCTGGCCCCAGGAGTAGCCTTTCTGAGTGGGGAATTTCCAGAAGCCCTGCACCAGCAAGGCTGTGGCTTGTTCAGCCGTGTGCAGTGAGGCATCTGGTTTTATACCACACGCTGTCGTATAAGGGGATGTCAAAAAGTTTGTGGAAAAATGGAATTAAAGTACAAGTTTATTTTGGTGTGAAGACATGTGTTAAACCCATGCATAGTTCTCTCATAATATGAATTTCCACGACCTTTCTGAAGGCCCCCTGCGTTTCCAGTGATACCCAGGGTATGCCCATTACCAAAATGAACGTATGAAAACTAAACTATTTTGCATGCTTCGGGACATGGAAATGATTGCTCTCAACGGTACTAAACTCTGGACTCGCCCGTCTTCCTCAGGGAGCTTGTTTAAAACTCGATGTACGTCTTGTGGTGCGGTGGCCGAGAACTACAAGAGCCCGATTTGTCCAGCTCTATCGGGAAAAGGGTAATTGCTGCACTACAGAATATATATGTCGTTTTCTCTGTGTTGAACTAGGAAATCAAAGCTTAATCAAAGAAAATCAGTTAGCAATATTCCCACAAATATTTATGAGAAATAAGGTGGGACACAGTTCGGATATACGGTAAAAGGTATTTTGCTCATAATTTACAATGGTATTTGAAAACCACAGGGTGCCAAACCTGTTTGTAATGACTTCAACTTTTGCCTTGAAACACACGCACGCCCACACACGCTCTGCTCTTTATGTATCTATGTTAATGACCCGAATAAAATACGGTAAAATGTTAACAGTGATTGTCAGAAGTGGGAGGATTATGGGTTCTATCTTTCCAAACTTTATTATTTCTGTGATGAGTATGTACTGTTACTATAATAAGAGAAAAATATTTTTTTTCTTTCTTTTTTTTTTTTTTTTTTTGCTATAGGGCGCGTGTGCTTGCCAGACAGAGAGAGACAGAGAGATAGAAAGCGAGAAATCACCCCCCAGGGGGGATGGCCACGCTGCAATCCCTTCTCCTCCATTCTCCTCTCGGGATCTTGGGCATGCACGCACACATGCACGGTGTGAGTTTTAAGCCACCGGGTCCAGGACGCAAACCACGGTCGACTACGTGGGAGTCCAGCGACATAGCCATTACGCTAACTGCTGGTTCCCAGGAGGAAATGTTTTTAAAGAAGTATTTTATTGAACTGTATTTATTTGTTTTATTTATTTATTTTAATTCGACCAGAGAGGGACAGAGAGAGAGAGAGAGAGAGGGAAAATGAGAAAGCAAGCTACCAGGTCCAGGACTCAAACTGTGGTCGGCCATATGGGAGTCTAGCACTCCTAACCACCACGCCATGTGCTGGCCCCAACAAGGGAAAAACTTAAGAGTAGATTCAAACTATTGAAAAAACTTTTACTGAGCCATTTTATTTATTTATTTATTTATTTTTAAAGGCTTTTCTCACTGGAGACAGTGAGCGGGAAAGTGAAAAATCACACCCCCCAGGAGGATGGCCACAACACAGTCTTATCTCCATTCTTCTCTTGAGATTTTGGGTGCGCGTGCGCCGCGCGCGCGCACACACACACACACACACACACACACAGACACACACACCTGGAGTGATTTTCAAGTTGCCAGGTCCAGGACTTGAACTGTGGTCAGCCCTGTGAGAGTCCAGCACCTTAACCTCTACACCACCCACTATATAACTTCCATAGAGGTAGAATGTCTTTGCCAAAGATTGAAAAGATGGTAAAGGTGAATTGTATAGCACCCCCGAGCACTGGCTTCGCCAGCTCCTCCACACACAGATTCTGTCTCCTGCGATGCAGTCACTAGCAACTTAATGTTTGGGGCCGTCTTTCTGCCACCTTTCTACGTTAGCCTGTATTGGATTGTCAGAAAAGTCATGAAATATTTTTTTTCTATGTTTTTCTATGCAAAAATGCATTATGACTTTTCCAACAACCCAGTATTAATCAGGAGTTTTGTATTATATACTGCCAGGAAACACACAGAGTACTGGGTTGTGTTATGTTGTTGTCTCGTTACCCCAGTGGCATGCCTTTTTAATATCATTTACTTCAGTGCACCAGAACCTGAAACTCAAGATGCCAAAATCCCAGTCGAGAAGCTGCCCAGGTGAGTACAAAGCTGCAGTGTGTATTGGGTGTGCCAGATGACAAACAAGGACAATTAGCAGTTAGAACCTAGACTTCTTTTGGTGCAGTGGCTCTGAAGTCAAATGCACAAATGCAGAAATCACCCTTGACCCACCCAGCCTAAGGTGAAAGGACAAAGGATGACCCAGACCAGATGAAGGGAGCGGTTTCCTGCCAGTCCTTTCCTGTTCTGCATTATGGCAGGGTAGTTTGGGGTCTGGACAGTTTCCACGGCTGTCCCGGGACAGATGGCTGTCCCTGGTGTGTAAAGCAGAGGCAGGCAGCCTGTAACTAGTCAATGGATGTCACCGGTATTATTAGCGTGGGGCGGCTGGTGGCATGGCCACCTGGACCGACGTGGCGGGGTCGGGCTGGGTTAAGCTCACATTTTTGCAGGTGTGAAGAGGAAGGGTGTGGGGGCCTGCTGCGGCCTCATGTCGTGTGGTTTGGAGAAAACCTGGACCCTGACGTTCTGGAGGAGGTGGACAGGGAGCTCGCCCTCTGTGACCTGTGTCTAGTGGTAGGTCATGCCCGCCCTGCATCCACACTGAAGAATGGAGTGCAGTTTATGGTGGTCGTTTCCTCCCTCCCTTCTCTCCTCTCCTCTCCTTCCTTTCTTTAAAATGTGGCTTGAGGGGACCAGCAGATGGCGTAATGGTTATGTGGCTGAACTCCCACATGGTTGACCATGGTTCCAGTTCTAGACCCAGTGACTTAAAACTCATGCTGGGCGCGTGTGCACGTGTGCCCAAAATCCTGAGAGGACAAGGGAGGAGAAAGGACTGCAGTGTGGCCATGGCCCCAGGAAGTGATTTCTCGCTTTCTGTCTCTCTGTGTGTCTCTGTCTCTCCAGTGAGTGCACAAGCCCAATAGTAAAAATCTCTCTCTAAAAAAAATAAAAATTTGGTATCCTGCAGGAAAACTAAGAAGTGAATAAGAATTGATCTTAAAACTGTGCAAGACCATGTCAATGCCTTCTCCCATCACCCCGTATCCCACAAAATGAAAAGAGCATGTTACTGGATCAGATTTTTAAACTTGTATATTTTTGTTACCGAATTTGAGAAAATGTAAAACAAAAAGCATACAAAGAGGAAATTAGAATTCACCCATAATTCCATCATCCAGAGATAGTCACTGTTTGCATTTTGGTATGTTTTCTTCGAGACCAGGGTGAGGGGGCCACATGGAGGCCAGGGGTCTGAATCTGTCCTACACCGTGTGTTTGTAAATAAAGTTTTATTAGAACACAGCCACGCCCATTTTGATACTGTCCATGACTGTCTGCCTTCACAGTGGAGGGCAGAGTTGAGCACTAACGAGGTCGTAGAACTTGCAAAGCCTAAAAGATTTACTGTCTGGCGCCTTACAGACGTTTGCTCATCTCTGGACTGTATCTTTCCTTATGTGAGGAACACATAATTCGATTTTAAAAATACGCTTGGACTCTGTGTTCTGTTTTTAAACTACATTATTCACATAGTAACTCACTTAGCATATTCCATGTCATTATATCCAAATCTTTTTTTTTTTCTCTTTTATTGCCAGAGGGTGTGTGCACTTGCCAGACAGAGAATGAGAGAGAAAGCACCTCCCAGTGGGACGCGGTCATGCCACAGTCCTTTCTCCCCCATACTGTCATCCTGTCAGGATTTGGGCACACACACACACACAGACCTGCCATGTTTTTCAAGCTGCCGGGGCCAGGATTCAAACCATGGTTGTGGGATCCAGATCCCTTAATTACTGAGCTATGTGGCTGCCTCTGACTTTATCTGAATCTATAGCATTTATTATTTGCTTGGTGTTCTAATGTATAGATGTAAAACGATATTTAAGCAGTCGTCTATTGTTGGACATTTAGGCTATTTTTAATTTTGACTTTTCCGGGGCTGGCAGGTGGCATGATGGTTAAGGACACTGGACTCTCATATGACTGGCCATGGTTCGAGTCCCAGACCTGGCGCTTGCTTTCTCAATTTACCCCCTTTCTCTCTCGCTCTGTCCCTTTCTGTCAAATTTAAATAAAGTTAAATAAAATAATTATTTTAGAAAATATGACATTTCTAACTATACTGCAATGAACATTCTTACACATAACTCTTTTTAAAAAATTTTGTTAGAGAGTACATGTGCTTGCCAGCAAGCAAGAGGCACAGAGAGAGGGAGAGAAGAAAGCACCCCTCATGGGGAATGGTCACCCTGCAATCCCTTCTTCTCCATCCCTCCCTCCTTTCAGAATTCTGGACACGCGTACACGTGTGCCCACTATGTTTCTCAAGCTGCCAAGTGTGGGACTCGAATCACACAGTCAGCCATACGGGACCCAGCTGCCTTAACCAGGCTGTGAGCCAGCCCCATTAGATATACATCTTAACATGCTCTTCAAATTATTGCTTTAGTACAAATTTCCTACAGGTATTCAATTGAACAAAGGGTATGCACATTTCACGATTTCCTTAATATATGTTTAAAACGGAGCTACTTTGGAGGCCAATAGATGGCGTAATGGTTATGTCGCTTGTCCTCCCACGTAGTCAGCCACAGTTGAGTCCTAGACCCGGTGGCTTAAAACTCATGCCGGGTTGGGAACCAGCAGTTAGTGTAATGGCTATGTCGCTGGACTCCCACGTAGTTGACCGCGGTTCGCGTCTCGGACCCGGTGGCTTAAATCTCACGCCGGGCGCGTGTACGTGCGTGCCCAAGATCCCGAGAGGAGAATGGAGGAGAAGGGATTGCGGCGTGACCATCCCCCCTGGGGAGTGATTTCTCGCTTTCTGTCTCTATGTCTCTGTCTGTCTGGCGAGCGCGCGCGCCCTATAGCGAAAAAAACCTCTCCAAAAAAAAAAAAAAACTCATGCCGGGTTGTGTGCATGTGTGCCCAGAATCCCAAGAGAAGAATAGAGAAGGGATTGCAGCTTGGTCTATTCAATTAGCCAGTGTTTATTGAGTGTATCCCAATGTGGAATGGAGTATCAGTGTCCATGACGGATTATAAGTGAGAAAACTTGGTTAATAAAGCATCCTTTGGGACCAGCAGTTAGCGTAATGGCTAAGTCGCTGGACTCCTGTGTAGTCAACTGCGGTTCGAGTTCCAGACCTGGTGGCTTAAACTCACACCGGGCGCGTGTGCATGCATGCCAAGATCCCGAGAGGAGAATGGAGGAGAAGGGATTGCGGCGTGACCATCCCCCCTGGGGGGTGATTTCTTGCTTTCCATCTCTCTGTCTCTCTCTGTCTTTCTGGTGAGCGCGCGTTCCCTATAGCAAAAACCTCTCCAAAACAAAACACAAAAACAAAGCATCCTCTGGCCTTTCCATCTCTGTTAAGCACATATGGAGGAGAAGGGATTGCGGCGTGACCATCCCCCCTGGGGGGTGATTTCTCGCGTTCCATCTCTCTGTCTCTCTCTGTCTTTCTGGCGAGCGCACGTTCCCTATAGCAAAAACCTCTCCAAAACAAAGCAAAACACAAAAACAAAGCGTCCTCTGGCCTTTCCATCTCTGTTAAGCACATTTATTTGTTAATAAACAAGCAAACATATATAAGAGAAAACCTGGAAGGACAGACAGCAGAATACTAGGAGTGACTATCTTAGGGTGGTAGGATTCTAGAAAGCAGGTCTGTTTTTTCTTTGTATTGCATAACTTCAGAGCTGAAACAAAAGCAGAACTACCCCCAAAAAGATGTAGACTTGAGTTATGTCTTTGTCACTCTCTCATTTGCTTAACTCTTTTTTCATATTATGTTTTTCCTGAATTTGGTGACTGGCTCCTTCCCGCCTTGGCCTTGGCTACTCCTCATTCGATTTCCCCATCTTCACTGTCCTCCCCCCATGACCACAGACCTGCCTGCATTTACATAAGGCGTCTAGAGTGTGGTCATGTGTGCATTTCCATGTCCGTTCCAGGTGGGAACATCGTCTGTGGTCTACCCCGCTGCCATGTTTGCCCCCCAGGTGTCGGCCAGGGGAGTGCCTGTGGCCGAATTTAACACGGAAACCACCCCGGCCACGAACCGATTCAGGTACGGGGGTCATGAAGGTGGGAGATGGGAGGTGGGGGGCATGATCACCCAAGCTGATTTCCCTACTACTCTAATTTTTTTTGAGAGAGAGATTTTCACGGTAGGGCACGTGCACTTGCCAGACAGACAGAGACAGACATAGAGACAGAAAGCGAGAAATCACCCCCCAGGGGGGATGGTCACCCCACAATCCCTTCTCCTCCATTCTCCTCTCGGGATCTTGGGCACGCACGCACATGCGCCCGGCGTGAGTTTTAAGCCACCGGGTCCGGGACACGAACCGCGGTCGACTACGTGGGAGTCCAGCGACATAGCCATTACGCTAACTGCTTGTTCCCTACTCTAATTTTTTAAAAAACACAGTTTGTGCTTTCTCGTTTGGCCTGATTTTTTAAAACACAGTTTGTGCTTTCTCGTTTGGCCTGTAGTGGCTTTCATGAACGAACAAAGCACCGTTAACTGTGATTAAGGTGGCCACGTCTGTTCACAGGGTCGTGCTGCCATTCGTTTTTTTTTCACATTTTAAAAGCTCTTTTTCCAATGCTTTACACTTGCTTTTCATTTGTATCTTTTTTTAAAGAGTGATTTATTTATTTAATTCCATTGGTTACTGTGAGAAAGGAAAAGAGAGAAAGTAAACCACCAGGTCTGGGACTTGAACCGCAGTCGGTCATGTGGGAATCCAGCACCTACCTTTAACCACCATGCTGCCTGTGGCCCCCATTTGTATCTTTAAACTAGACCTGGTAATGGCCTTTGGATGCGAGTTGTCCTAGTGCTTGGCAGGTTAGCCTGGGAAATGTCGCTGCTCAATGGGAAGCCCCTAGGCAATTCTCCTCTGGTCTAATTGTCAAGAATATTTGTCCTTGGGCCCTGCTATGACACTGGTTCTGTTCTCCGCTTTGTGGGGAAAGTGTGGATCATCATACTATGCATTTTCAGTCTCATTCCAAGTTCCACTGTCTGCCTTCACCCCAGTTTTGTATTTTTTCTCTCTCACTTCAGTGCCTTTACTTTGAATTCATGTCAACCTTGGGACCAGGAGGTGGCTTAGTGGTTAAGGCACTGGAATTCCACATAGCTGGCCAGTTTGAGTCCTAGACCTAGTGGCTTGAAATTCATGCCACGCACGTGCGCCCAAAATCCCAAGTGGAGAATGGAGAAGGGATTGTGGCATGGCCATCTCCCCAGGGCATGATCTCTCTCTCTCTCTCTCTCTCTCCGGTGAGTGCATGTGCCCTATAGCAAAAATCCATCCAAAAAAAATTTCATGTCAATCTCATTGATTCTAGAATAAGGTGAAAAATACATAATAAGTGAAATAAATAAGTAAATAACACTTTACCAAAACATCTTGTCATTACTTTAAGCAGTGTTTTTTCATCAAGGCCACATATTTTAAAAATCCTGGTGCCTGGGTACCACCGCAGGAGATCCTGGTGTAATCGATCGGCAGTGCCGTCTGGATCTAAACTTTGCATAAGCTTCCTGGGTACACCAGGGTGAAGGCTACTGCTCTGTGCCTTCACAGGTAGTAAATTTGTGGTAAATGAATTGTGATACAGATGCTTAAATAGATTCTCTTCAGGTGAGTGGCCCTGGTGCTAGTTTTTTCCACTTTTTTTTTTTCCAGTAGGTTTTTGCCATTGAGTGTGTGTGCTCTCCAGAGTGAGGGGGAAAGTAGGAAAGTGAACAGTCTGCCCCCAGGGGGGGGCATTTCACTGAAATACCTTTTCCTCCTGGGATTTTGGGCATGCACGCACACATGCCTGCTGTGAATTTCAAGCTGCCAGATCCAGGACTCAAACCATGGTCAGCCATGTGGGAGTCCAAGGTCTTAACTTCCAAACCACCTGCTGGCCCCCATAGTAAGATTTTATTTTCCTTTTTTTTTTTGAGATATTTTTGCTATAGGGCACATGAACTCATCAGAGAGACAGAGAGAAATCACCCTGAGGGATGGCCAAGCTGCAATCCCTCGTCCTCCATCCTCCTCTCAGAGCGCCGTGTTTGTGAGAATTTGGGTTTTACTTTGTGTATATGCAAGAAACATGCGACTCACTGAAGCAGTGCATTCGTTTTGCCGCCCAGCTCGCTCATCACGCGTCCGTATTTGGTCCTGTTTCAGGTTTCATTTCCAAGGACCCTGTGGTACAACTCTTCCTGAAGCTCTTGCCCGTCATGAGACTGAAACTGTGTCTTAAGTGTCTGGAGGAGGAAGAAAGTAACGTATCTCTAAGAACTAGGCTGCAGACCAGAAATGGTGACCTGAGTGTTGGAAAATCTAAAACTATTCTCTGACTCCTTGGCTGGAATCTAACCTAACAATAAGGGACGGGGCTTCAGGGTGGCAATAGCAAACCCTAGGAAGATAGAGAACTGTGATGTTAATGCGTGCTTTTTGGTTTGAACAGAAACATGCATTTGGTAGAAAGAAAAACTTTTTGCAATTAAATTGTCTAAAGAAAAATGTAATTCCCTGACTGTATTTTTGGTATTTGGGCAAAGATCAAAGTTGGGGAGAAACCTGGTATTTAATTCTGATTTTTGCAGAAGTTTTGGTGGACAGTACAATCACTGTCTACAATAGAGTATAAAGATGGCACCTCAAGGGATATGTCTGGGGGGGGTGCTTTTGTTTTCAGTGTTCTCCCTGTTTGGCTGCCTTACCTCAAAGAACATGGGATAGCTTACAGTAAGAACTCATGCAAGGACGGAAAAGAATAGCCGTAAAGCAGAAAACCAGAATGAGAAAAAAGAACAAAGCAAATATGTAGACCCCAGAGATAAACCCAGCTGCCTAAAATTTAGCTCCGGCATCTTCGCAGCCAGGAGGGAAGGGAACGGTGATGTCGGACTGCTCTCAGGATCACAAGTGCAGAAGCATACAGTCATTGTGGGGTCTGCCAGGCTCCCCAGCAAGTGCAGAAGCATACAGTTACTTGTGGGGTCTGCCAGGCTCCCCAGAGTTTCTGTGGTAGTCCAGCAACGTAACTGTTACACTGTCTGCTGGTCCCCAAGTCTGATTATATTTTTTACTGGTAATTTCTGTCTGACTGAGGCCCAAAGGATTCAGAACTAGCTGCAACTCCTCTCATTCTGGGCTTTTGATACCAGAAGCTTCTTTGATCTTGTGTTTTATCATTTTTGTTCATTTGGTTTTGTTCTTTTTAAATTCAGAATTGCTTCTAAATCAGAAGAGATGAAAGAACTGTATTTGGTTTTGTTCTTTTTAAATTGGGACTTGCTTCTAAATCAGAAGAGATGAAAGAACTGAAAATATGAAATATGTGAGATAGAACTGTTCATTTCCATTTAGTATTATATTGTACAACTGCCACATGAAAGACAGAAAGATGATTAGTAAGACATGGCACCTTAAGGAGTTTCAAGAATAGTTGCACCAAACATCACATAAAACATGATACTTTGGGACTAGCAGTTAGCATAATGGCTATGTCGCTAGACTCCCGTGTAGTTGACCGTGGTTTGAGTCTCGGACCCAGTGGCTTGAACTCCCACTGGGCATGGGTGTGCGCGTGCGCCCAAGTTCCCAAGAGGAGAATGGAGGAGAAGGGATTGATGCGTGGCCATCCCCCTAGGGAATGATTTCTTGCTGTCTCTCTGTCTGGTGAGTGCACGCACAAAAACCTCTCCAAAAAACAAAACAAAACAAAAAACCATGATATTTGGCCCGTTAGTTGACGTGGTGAAGGTGCTGGGCTCCCACATGGCCAAATGCAGTTCAAGTCCTGGACCTGGCGTCTTGCTTTCTCACTCCTCGCTCTTCCTCTCTCTGGTGAGTGAGCACATGTGCCCTATAACAAATTAAAAATATTATTTAAAAAAAATTTTTTTAAGTGACACCATGGAAGCTAGAGTAACACAATTTGTGCAAAGTTTAGAGAAGAGTGCCAAGAGAGGTGGGGAGAGTGGCAGTGGGGGGTGATTAACGTGAAGGTAGCCTGAGTGGGAGTGCTGGAAGTTGTCAGTAAAGGGAATAGCAGGTACCAGTCTAGCAGGAGTGGAAGAGCTTGACTTGTTCCGACAAAGACGACCCATTTGATATTGTAGAAGACGTGGGAGGAGATAAGCATGGAGACCAAAGAAGCCTGTCTGCCCAGAAACAATACACTTGGAAAATAATACATACAGTTAGGAGGAACTTCAAAAGGGTGGGGAAATGGCATTAAAATACAAGTTTATTTTGGTGCAGAAAGTTTTTTGAAATGCTTTTTTGCAATTCTCAGGTAAATTTTCCATTTAGTTTTTACAGACCCCCCCCCGTATATACATAAAAGCTAAGTGCATTCGGTAATTCTAAAGTCACTCTTCCTTTAAAAAGAAATTATGAGGACAGAGAAACACGCACAGTGAACTTCCTCACCAGCCTTCCAGGATGGGCAGGCCGGGGTGGTCGGGTCCACTGGGACCCGGCCTAACCGTGAGGCTGCAGGATCTTCGGCGGGGGGGGCATCCTTCGTGGATCCCGGCTCAGCAACTGCGGGGCCCGCCGCTGCCCCAGGTCGCCTTCCAGCCCCGAGGCAGGCAAGGGCCCTCGGGTCTCGGAGCTCGCATTCTCCCAGGCTCAGACAACGAGCGAAGCGGGCGGTGAGAACCAGGACGGCGCGGTCAGGGCCAGGCCCACGTCTGCGGCCGCGGCCTGCTGAAGTCGGCCCCGCGGGCCTGGCCAAGGCCTTTCGCTGTCGGGCATTTCTTTCCCAGGAAACCACTTCCTAAGAGAGCGCGGCGTGAACTGGGCCGAATCCACGCACGTCCACGAGCGGATCGTGATGGCGGAGCTCCTCCGCCTTGCAAGGAACGCGGTCGCCAGCCGCTCTCCCCATCAGAGCGCCTCCCAAGGCGCCGCCACCGCGACGAACACGCTCCGCCGCGCGCAGGCCACGCCTCCCTCGCTGTGCGCATGCGTCCTTCCCTCTCAGGCCTCCGACCGGCAGGGGGCGATAAGGACGTGCGACGCTTGCTCTTTCGCGTCGCGCTCCGCTTGCGGCAGCGCGAGGTCAGGGGTCAGACGATCCCGAGCGGCGTGGGCCATGGTGCTGCTCCGGCCGCGCGCGTCCCGCACCCCGGCGTCGGCGGAGGCGATGGTGGACGAGGGCCAGCCGGCCTCGGAGGAGGAGGCGGAGCACGGCTTGCTGCTCGGGCAGCCCCGCCGCGGCGCGGGCGCCG